TCTATTGGAAGAATTTTTTGTGCCGCTTCAGCTTTCTGAAGAAAAAAACCATCGTTAACAGTGTACGGCCGACGGTTTTTCATTCTGCACATTTAAAAGATCCAGGGTGAAGATCCTACTGAATATATTTCACTATGTCTGTAAATGTGTTCGTGTGTTCATTATGTCGTCACGAAATTCATAGCGCGAGCCACGGCACCAGTGGGACATTGGTTCCAACAAATGATATAGGGGGTGGCAGGGCATTACTGATGGGAAAGGATTACAGCTGACTGCATCCGATAAGGGACCTCAGGAGAGGGAGGCCATTAGGCTCATTACGCGGATAGCAACTTCAATGGAAAGCTGGTTCCGATATCGCGTGGGGCGGTAATGTTAGTGGTGGGCAAGCTGATCACTCGGGTGACAGTAGCAGTGGGGCGTGGTTCTCAGAAGTGATAAAGGGGATGGACGAGTACATCGACGATAGGCGACAGGAAGTGATAACAACTGACAAAACCCAACAGCGATTAACCTGCAAGCGATATTTACTGCACCGCTGACAAACACAGTACGATCGATAAGACTTTCAGTAATTAAAGCACAAATAATTCCCATTCATTACCTCATAAGTAGTGAAATCATCTCTACTCGCTGGACTAACAAGGCTTTCAGGTGTACGGTGCATGTTCAAAGTATGTGACAAGCTGCAGCAAATTTCTATCATTGATACCGTGATTGTTCATCCGAACTATAATGAGTTCCTATTGAGGTGTCCTACTGCTGCCTGCGGCGGGCGTAGGCAGAAGTGGGACGCTTTTGAGGACCGATAAGTCCAGGGAGCAAAGGGGCGCTACTGCAATGAATCTGCTGTTACGCAAGTATGTTGTGCAGCCACCTAGAGAAAAGCATATGAACGGAGAGGCTTTGATAGTAGCCGTAGAATCCTTATGTCCTTAAAAGCTGCCCCGATTTACTATGGGATACGGTATGCAATGCAAGAGTCAGGATGTAATGTAATGATGTGATGTAAGCCGGTGAATCCATCAAATTCTCGCGCAATGGTGCTTCCAGGGCAATGTCACATCAAATGTGATCTGGTCTGCACTACTACATCGAGGGGTTAGCTATGCTACAAATCCGCACTTGCACCCTCGCAAGCGAACACCTATCGTGAACGAGTACCAATCAGTCGGCTTCGTAGGTAGAGTTGGTTTGCGCTAGACGCCGACCGCAACTATGCCCTTGGATCATGCTCGCTCTATGTGACGCACCATGCCAGTACACCGTTTTACCTCTAGTTTATGAGATCACAATGGTAAATGAAATTTACGGCAGATACAGCTAATCATCAAAAGATAAGACGAAGCTGTACCTGGAAGCTCGTGATGGCTTTTCCTAATTGTTCTGTTGTGTTCAATTCGTACTTGAGTGTGGCAACAGTTGTGCCAGACTCCAGTGAGATCAGCTTCAGCTCCCCGACCAAACGACTTTTCGCGCCTTTCTGTAAGAAAAGTTGTCAAGAGAGGAAAAGGCAGGAGCAGGCAAAGAAAGGAGAAGCCATTTTGAGAACAAACCTGCAGTAGAGGCTTGAGTGTTACTACTCCAGCAGCCAACAGTTTATATGCGGTGTTTTGCGGAGAATACATTTCTATCGTGATACCATTCTGAAAGCTCCCTTTATAACTGGTGGCGCTATCGTGGAGATCGTCTTTTTTTAGATGCCTCTGAAGGAACTCACTGTCTCGATGTAATGCACAAAAAGGTCTGACACCACCACACTGTAGATCGTGGTGAAGTCTAGAGTGTTCGTCTGATTCGTCAGAATTGGTGTAGTCTGCAGTTCGAAGTCGAAAAACTCCAGGGACAAGAAATACGCAGGGCACACGCCAACACTAGCGACGAAGTCATCTGTGAGACTGATAGAGGTGAACATAATGGAAAGTTCTGTTGAGAACTCGTTCTTGGTTTCCTGAAAGAAAAGTGCTCATAAAATCACTACGAGACTGCGCTGTAATTCAAGCACTTACCACAGCCTTCAGCGGAATTGGTTTCTGAGTACCGTAGGCGATGGAGCGGATCTGCTCTTCGAGTAGGAGTACTTTCTTCTGCTTCTCTACGACCTTATCTCTCATCTCTTTCAGTTTCGTTTCGTATCGCACCTTCACTGCCTCCATCTCCTCTTGCAACAGCGTTATCTAAAGATTAACTCCATGCTGGTCACAGGTTAAGGACTCCGGTCCACCACCCTCCCCCCCTCCCTCCCTTTCCTTGGATTTTACGTACCTCAGTGGTCTGCTTCTGATTGATATTGTGCTGGATGAGCAGCATATTGCGGACTTTCTCTAGTTCATCGTAAAGGCCTGCATACATTTTCTTCCACCTGAAATAGGGGAGCGTCATAAATGAAGAAGTGAAGAGTAGGACTTCTGAGAAAGCTGGCCTGGTTCCCTGTTTAGTATACTGACACCTCAACAGCATCAAAATGGTCTACGCTCAGGCTAGCTCCCAGCATATTCAAGCTCGAGCCTCCAGAGCGTCAAGAAACTGACGTTTGCTTCATTTACAATATTTTTATAGAGAAGGCGATACTGTTGTAGGAAAGGGTTATATCAAGCGCCACAGAAGTATTCTTTAGTTTTTTTTCCTACGATTTAGGGACTAGGAATCTAAGGAAGCTATTTCTAATGAGAAAAAGAAATCAAAAGTGGATAGGCCTGTCCATGTTCGGAGCAGCACCAGCTTGATCAGATGTGTGAGTTTCACCTACTTACTTTGTTATATTCTCAGAAGACACCATCGAACCGTCGATTTCACCGTGTTCGAGCCTATCGTCGTGGGACTCGAGAATCGCCGATACATCCCGATAAAGTCGCTCCAAAATGTCGTCGTCGTTTTTGCTCTGAAATCAAGTTAACTTGTGCTCTACTCTGTGAATTCAACATGCTGTGGAGGAAAAATAGGAAGATAGAGAGAAAATTAGCAAAGAGTGCCCGCTCTTCTAATTTTGAATTGAAACCAACACGAGCATACGGAGGCATACCTTTTTTCCTCGTTTTCTGTCACTTTTTTCCTTCTTTGGTGTTTCACTCCTTGACAGATCCTCGAGCTCCTCCACAGACTCTTCGGCTTTTCTGGAAAAAACTGCTCCGAAGCAACATTCAAGAATTCATTATCCATATGCATTCGTGACCCCTCCCCCCCTATGGCGTGTGAACGGACGTGGAGAATGCTACCGCGGCAGCCTTCACACCAGTGGCGTCATCCTAAGTAGGCAACAATTAGCGCAGAAGGTTATCCTGGCTGCACTCGAGTTCACGCCAGGGCATGCCATTGCGTTGTGATCATTCCCTGAAAAATACGACCCCCCTCCAAATAAGGGTCTTGATACGACCCCCCTGTACATTGCAAACGTTCTGTTTCGCATCGTTTTCCTTTGCTTCTTTGGCCGCGCTGTCAACAACAAACCCTCGCAAAACATTAAAAGTAGGCGTGAGGTACGTAAGGTTTACGGTAGCCAAAGAGCGCGCAAGTGGTGTAATTGCATCCAGCAGCCCATGCGCTGGATCCCTCTTGCATTACTCGTCATCCGCGCGCGACGCGCTAATACAAACGTATTGGAGCGCGCTATTTTACGACCTGGAGCCAATTTCAAGCCAAACACTCGAAAAGTACCCCTCGTTGAACACCCATAACTTCTTTGAGAATAAAGCTTCCGGAGAGGGGAAAGCAGGTATGAGGAGAACTAGGTTGGCACTTGTTACCTAATTATAAGCGATTTTGAAAATATCCTTTTTAGGAATTTTTCTCCGTTGTGATCCTCTTGTGATCATGGGGGCCAACCACAAGTCGCTACGCTTTGGACATCCATGGCAAGCTTCATACACGGCCTTTCGTAAAAAAAGAATTGTGCCGGAAGCGAAGCTTTCTACTTTCCAGCAAACTTTCATTTTATCCCTAGGCCTGCTATTCGAAAAAATTCCCCGTTGTGATCACAGCGTGATCACTGCCCCACGACACGAAAAATCAACCCCTCTAACGCCATAAAACCTCCGCTTGGCTTAAAGACTTTGGTATGCTTCTGAAACGCATGTTTTTGCCAAGGATATCAGGAAATAGTTCATTGGGCGCCAATTGGCATCACCTCTGCAATGCGCCATGCATAGCGCTTTCACGCAGAGCTATTGGGAAGGTGCAACTTCTAGAAAGGGCTTCCTCCGTGCAAGTAGATGTGCTTCTGCGATAGAAAGGTCCGGAAGTGTATTTTCATCTGTTTATTAATTCATGGCGGATATTCATTGGCGCGGAGGTGGTGTAGTGACAAGTGGCGCGCTTACCACTCGCGCGATGCCGGGTTCAAATCCCGGGTCGACTCTCGCCTAGGCCAAACAAGCCTTCTACCCTCCGGGGACGGTAAATTGGTACCAGATTCGTCTGGGAGGATAAAACACTGATATCGGCTGGCCACCGCAAGTCATTGTATAGGCCACATCGCATTCAATAAGCCACTACGATTCTGAATGGAAGTAGAATGCGTGCCGCATCCCACAAAGGGGTTGATCAACGGCGGAGACTTTATCCTTTATCCTTTTTTGACGTCGTTGTGGGCGGCCATCGTATTTCCTGTCATCGCCCGTTCCCCACTTCTGCGCTGGCAGGTGCTTCTGTCTTGTGTGGGTCTCTTCAGGGGTTCTTCACATGGATAAGAATTTCATCATTGAAGCTGAACGACATCTGGGTATCGCTGCACCCTCACTTCAGAAAGGGTCCGCGCTTACGACCCCCCCCCTCCCTCGAGCTCAAATACGACCCCCCTATTGTGATGATCAGAGC